TTTCTTGCCTCATGGTGATATCCTCTGAAGCTAAGATACGCATACGTGAATAGGAATCGATTGGAAAACACTTTTAGAGCAATTGTAAAAGTGATTTTAAAAAATGACTAGGAGGACATTTATTTATTTAGAAGAAATTTAGAGGCTAAAATGTTCACCGCATTTTTGTGACATTACCCAAACTTTCACTGTGGTTATTGCTGGGTAGAGTGATAGCGTGTGATTTGCGTTTTCTTCTTCTTGTTTGTCTACATTTTCTATAATCAATGAATGTATTTTCTGAAAGAATATACAAAATTTTGGTGGTGGTTCTTAAATTTAAGGCAGGTGCCTTCTGTGAGGTACAGCATTACTGCTATAGTTCTCCACTACATTGTCTTGGTTGTGAACAACTGTTGTTTAGGATCTCAGTATCTTTTCCTTGGAGAAATGTTCCTGGCCTAGAGCGGGGAAGCTGTCATTCTGCCCTGTCACCAAGGCTGCAGTGCTGTTGTTGGTTTTTATGGTAGCCACTGGTCATTCATACTTTACTGAGCATCCCATGTGTGGCTGTCTGTGAGAAAATACAAAGAGGTTTATGTGGGGAAATATCCAATCCATTGGGGACTCCCTTCAAAAGAGTGATCATTTTCCAACTTCTGAGAGTTTTATGAGTCAACCCATTGGAACAGATGTCCTGGATATCTGCTGTGTAGAGGGCGATGTGCTGGGTGCTGGGCAGATCTTAAGGGTTACTGGTGCACAGCCAACACTGGCTTCCAGGAACTTGTGGTCACATTGGGAAGATAAGAATGGACTGTGTGAAAATAATACAAAGAGAGAGAGAGAGAAATGCAAGTTTAGTACAGTTACCCAAAAATTGTCATGCAGCTATACTTGGGCCCCGTGTGATGGTGCAGGTGCCAAGTACCATCGGAAGGAAGAGCTCTCCTGTGGGTCTTAGTGGGCCACAGGATTGCACGGAGCTGGACGGACGTGAGCTGGAAGTGGGAGCAACAAGGCTTCCGAAGGCCTGTACTCAGTGATCCTAGAATGTTATCTGGCACATGCCCTTGGCCAAAGCAAGTCACAAAGCCAACCCAAATGCAAGGACAGGGAAATGGCCTCCACCTGTTGAAGGGAGCGATCGAAGGCACAGGGCAGATGGGCAAAGTCACGGGCGAGTGGAATTCCCTAGAGCCATTTTGAACAACTTAACACAATGGCTTATGGTAAAACTCTGAAGCAAGTTCCAGCTCTTGATACATAAAGGAGAGCTTTGGGAACTTTTTCTCTCTGCGTAACTTATCATGTTGATAACAAAATGTAATTTACTATTTCATCTGTATTTAACATAGAAGGTAATAATAATATACAGGTGGAGACGGTCTCTCTGGTTTAATATAAAAGGATTATTAATTAGTGACCATTGATAATCAAGCTGCTCATATTAGTGCTGTCCTCACTTGTGTTCACGTGCCACAATTTAGGTATCAATGACACCCAAGGTGCCGGATGATAGAATGCAAAGCGTGAGAGTGTTGGAATCAGAGGGATTCCAGTTACATTTGCAGCTCTATGACTTTCAGTCTTTGTGTCCTGATCTGTGAGGCGGGGTTAAATCGCACTGTCCGGGCCTGTTTGTCAGTTGTCAGTGCTAATTCTAGATCTCTATGCTGAAAAAAAATTCAGCTTTCATTCAGTTTTTAGAAACTAGTACTTCTAGTTAAAGATTACAATCTGACTTTATTTCGTGGAGGGCAGTGTATTTTGTTTTTTTATCTTTTTTATCAGCCTCTTGGTGGCCCACACTTAGAAAATAAAAATTTATCGTTACACATTCTCTCCTGAGTTGGCATTTCTAGAACACAAATTCTTTATTTAAGCCTTTTTTTGGGGGGGTGGGGGAGTAGAATGAGGCTTCCCGGGCCTGGACAGAGCTGCGTTTCTCACCGGGGTGCCCAAATCCGTAAGTGGGCCACAGGCCAGGCGGGAGGGCAGCCTCTGCAGACGGATTGCTCCACTTAGTGCGGCAGTCCACTCCGTTCAATAAACACTCTTTTCCCCCTGAGCAGCTTGTGCTTAATTATGAAACTGGGGCGTTGTGAAAGATCTACAATCAATAATTATAAAATAATCGTAATAATGATTACTATTTATTGAGTACTTAATATATGCCAGGAACTATGTTAAGTGCGTTACATGCATTATGTCCGTTATTCTCAGAACAATGCTCTGAGATAGGTGCTATTATTATCCTCATTTTTAAAACCTGAAAAATGACATAGCAATTTATGAAAGTAGCGTAGTATGTTGTAGGACGTTACAAAATACAGATAGGCAAGGATAAGCGTGAAAACACCATTTCCCTACCATTCAGAAAATATTACTGTTAACATCTTTTTATGTGAACTTCTGGAGTTTAGAAAACCTCTTTCTTTTTTTTTTTTTAAAGATTTTATTTATTTATTTGACAGAGAGAGAGACACAGCGAGAGCAGGAACACAAACAGGGGAGGTGGGAGGAGAAGCAGGCTTCCCACTGAGCAGGGAGCCCGATGCAGGGCTTGATTCCAGGACTCTGGGATCATGACCTGAGCCAAAGGCAGATACTCAACAAGTGAGCCACCCAGGTGCCCCCAAAAACCTCTTTATTTTCTATCCAACCTAACTGTTAAGACTATTATCTGAAAATATAAAAAAGGAATTTCCATATTAGAATGTAGAATTTTTATATTAGAACATTAGCCCTTTCTTTCTATTTGCATTATTCTTTAGCAGTCCTAAACATCCCTAAGTCCTTTTTTTTTTTTTAAGATTTTATTTATCTATTTGAGAGAGAGAGAGAGAAAGAGAGCCCACAAGTAAGTGGAGGGACAGAAGGAGAAGCAGGCTCCCCACTGAGCAGAAAGCCTCATGCAGGGCTCAATCCCAGGACCCTGGGATCATGACCTGAGCCAAAAGCAGCTGATTAACTGACTGAGCCACCCAGGGGCCCTGACATCCCCAAGTCTTAGATGAAGCCAGCTGAATATTAGGCTGTATTCAGGGAAGGGTAAAAAAGATAATCATATACATGCATTAAAACAAACTATTGTTCCAGTGTACCGGTTAGTTGTTGCTGGCGAGCAATCACAAAATCTCATTGGCAGAAACAACAAGAACTTACGCTTGATCGCACATCTTGGGGTCAGCTGGAGTGGCTCTTCTTAGCTACGGGTCTATAGATTGGCTGAGATGGCTCATCTTGGGGGCCAGACTAGACGGTTAATGGCTACCTTGGTTTGTTCTTTTCACAATGATGGCAGAAGTGGCAGGGGACAAGCCCAACTGTATAAACATCTATCTGCTAACATCCCAGGGGACTAAAGCAAGTTCCACGTCAAGCCTGAAGTTAAGGGATAAGGAAAGACCTACCTGCAATGAGCGTCCTTAGTACTGAGGCCAAGGCAAGGGTATGGGTATATAATACTACTATGAGGGCATGAAAAATTAAGACTAATAATTTAATCTACCACCCCTACTTTTCATGTGTATGTTTATTTATTCATCTACCCTATACATAAAAAATATAAATATATACACATAAGCATTTTTACATGGTATACATATGTACACACATATACACAAGATGAAATAAAACATGTAGCTATGTGTCAAAAGATTTATGAAACTTGAAAATGGAATGGCATGTGGAAGCTGGGTGATTAGTTGGAGAAACTAGTGTATTGTACCTGAAAAACCCAATTAAGAGTAAATATAAAAGCATTTCAGGGACAGGACCAGCAGCAATTTGATAATAAATTGGACGCTGGGGACCGGGGAGGGGGAAATGAAAAGGAAGAAGGAGTGAGGGAGAAGATATTAAAATGATGACAATTCTGCATGCCCGGGGACACTGGGAAGACCAGAGTAGCGGCGACCAGGAGCGGGAACGGGTGAAGGAGGGCTGGAAGACAGCAGTTGGTCTTACTTGGCACAGTTAGGTTTCAGATATCAGCAAACATCAAAGTAGTCATGTCCTCAAAATGATTGGACTTTGGTGGCGTGTTGAGACAGGAGCACTAGTTAGCTTTGTTTGTGACCGTGGATGAGTTTCTAATGTCTTTTCCAGCTCTTAATTTCTGTAATCCTTTGACCTTTTTAGGGATGTACAGTTGAAGCAATTTGAACAGAACGTTTCCCCAAGGAGTGCAGATGGAAAAGAATAAAACTTACGTGTCGGGGGCCAAATGATGTCCTCTAGAATTGCTCTTGGCCAGCATAGTGTTGTTGTTCTTGTTCCTTTTTAATTATTTTTATTTTTGTTGTTTAAATTTGAGAACATATTAAAGTTGGATATACTTTAGTCCGGTCCCAGACTCGACCAACCCTGCCTGTCTTAGAAGGACCCATTTCACACATTTACCTTGTGTCCTAGTCCTGGAGGACATTTGGGATTTCGACCTCTGCTCTTGGTCTGGGGCTAACTGCTGATGGGAAGGTGGAAAATACTCTGAGAAAATCAGGAAAAACCAGAGGTGGGCAAGCACTGAGTCATGAAAGTTGGGATTAAACAGGCTTTTAAAGAAGTCCTAAAATTCACTGATTGGTCCAGAAAGCTGAAAACCAAGCTTGTTAAAGTCTTTGGTGTTCTTTTATAATTGGACTAGGTTTTAAACTCTGCCGAGGGTAGAAACAATGTCTTTTCGATGTTCTGAAACGTTATCTTATAGTGAGATGTCAGGTGCTTGATCGATTTCGAAAGAAAGAGAGGGAGAGAGGAGACAGGAAGAAAAAGAGAACCGAAGGATTCAGAGTTGCCTCCCTCTCCCAAATAATTAAATAGGGTTCATGTCTAGAATCACCCAATGAAAGAGGTCTTTTTGCACACTTACCACTTTTCTAGAAGCAATAAGAAAGTTGTAACTAGGTTTCCTCAGTGTGGATATATTCAAGAAATGCGCTTTTCTCCCCCATTAACCGCCTTCTCCAGCTCAATGTCTCTCCTAACAAGTCTTCTTCTGTTCACCCCTCCCGTAGAAATGACTTGCTGATGGTCTGTCGCCAACTGAATATGGAGGAGTCTGTGGCTGAGATCATGAACCAGCTGGGTGCAGATGAACATGGGAAGATTTCCTTTCAGGATTTTACCAGGTGCCGCATGCAGCTTGTCCGAGAAATCAGGAAGGAGGAAGTAGGTCTTTCTGAGAAGTCAGACAACTCCTGTCAAAAGAAGAAGCTGCGGGATAGAATTGCGTCCTGGCCCACGAGCAGCGACAACAGTTTGGGTAGGTACAACCAGGTGGCAGTTTGGTAGTGCCTCACGAGCCCTGCTTGGTGACCTCTGTAAGCGGGAGTGGCCTGCCCAGCCTGCTGCCAGCTCGTCCCCAGGCTGTCTTCTTGGCCACACATTCCCTGGGTGAATGCTCCCTGTTTCCCCTAGTTCTGTCCTACAGAGTTTACCCCTTTCTTTAGTTTCGTTCTTCCATTTTCCAAGCATAATAATGTGTTGCCATTTAGCTCTTGGAGACGTAGGGCATGCTGGGTGGGAGAGGCGGTGACTGCATCAGCAGACCTCAGAGACTATCTGGGGACGCCTTCAAATATGAGTGCAGCTCTGGGCCTCAAGGTTAAAAAAAAAATACATTTCTCTCTCTCTCTTTTTAAAGATTTTTTTTATTTATTTGACACGAGAGAGATGCAAGAAAGGGAACACAAGTTGGGGGAGTGGGAGAGAGAGAAGCAGGTTTCCCTCTGAGCAGAGAGCCCAATGCGATGCCAGGCTCTATCCCAGGACCCTGGGATCATGACCCAAGCCAAAGGCAGGTGCTTAATGACTGAACCACCCAGGTGCCCCCAAAAATCCATCTCATGTTTGCTTAATCTTTAAAATGTTTTCTACAGAGTTTTCCTGTTCATAAGTGTTATTGTTTCCTATCAACACAAGACAAGCAATAGAAAGAAAGATCCTACAAATGTTGATAATTATTGAAGCTGGGTGATGAGAATTTGGGGCTTATTGTACATGTTTCTGGGCACTCAAAAATGTGTGTGTGTGTGTGTGTGTGTGTGTGTGTGTGTGGAGAGAGAGAGAGAGAGAGGAAATTTTTAATTTTTTATAATGAAAAGTTTAGAGGAAAGAGGCATCTGAAAGGGTAGCCTGAACAAATGGACAGAAGAAAGTATCTGAATTTTCTACTTATATTTTAGGGAATTTTTTTTTTCCCCTTAAAACTATCTTCTGGATCTCTCTCTCTCTGCTTCTTTCTCTTCTAGGTAGATCTGGTGGCAGGAAACAAAGCTCCATGTTAATTGTCCATCATTTGTTAAATATATACTAATTAGCATGGATAATTATGTAGTGTCCCATAACACACACACACACACGCGCGCGCACACACACACACACAACCTGAATAATGCTCTTGGCAGTGGAATCATTTGGAGCATTATTATTGAGTAATTGAAATAATAAACGTGTCCTCATATCCCCTATGACTTACCATCTTAATGGATTCCATTTTAACTTCACATCACATGTCTGGTAATGCATGTGCTCTCAGCACAATATGTAGAAATATTTAATTTTTGAAGTAACATTTTTTCTGAGTATTAAAGTAATATATGTTTATTATATAAAAATAGAATTTTAAAAAAGGCAAGCAGAAGAAAATAAAAATCGTCCTTAATACCTCACATCCAGAAATAATAACTACTGCTTAGATTTCTCCCTCCCTCTCTCTTTTTCATTCATGTGTGTGTATATGTGATTTGTTTTTTATTAATTTTTTCACATACTTTCTATATAGTTTTGTATCCTGTAATTCATCCCTTGCATTTTCCTCATGCTTTTAAATAGCATTTGAAAGCATGATTTGTAATAGTTGCGTGACATAAAAAGGACATGCAGTAATATTTATTAGATGAAAGAATGGAATTCTTTTTGCTAAGCTGTGCTTTCTAATTTTTCTGCCAAGAACATGGCCTTCTTATATAATTAGTAAGCCCACACACATACACATTTGGAGTAAACTGTGGTGCATCCCAACTAGTGAATCCCGTGTGGCCACTGAAGTAATATTTATTGTGTCTCTAGGAGGAATACTTGTATGGGGGAAAAAAAAAAAACCTACACCATCCAAAATTGTATTTTAATGTGTAGTATATGTTTAGAAATATTCTAAAGGGGGAAGTTTTTTTTTCTTAAAAGAGGCATTTTGGGGGGCGCCTGGGTGGCTCAGTTGGTTAAGCGACTGCCTGCAGCTCAGGTCACGATTCTGGAGTTCTGGGATCGAGTCCCACATCAGGCTCCCAGCTCCATGGGGAGTCTGCTTCTCCCTCTGACTTCCCTTCTCATGCTCTCTCACTCTGTCTCTCTCTCTCAAATAAATAAAATCTTAAAAAAAAAAGAGGCATTTTTAATAGAATTGCTACCCATATCTAATTGGATAAGCCATCTCATAGGATTGCCCTAACCTGAGAAGGAAGTGAAAAGGAGTTCCTCCCAACCTTGGTAACTGTTTGCCCAGGAGAAAGAAGAGGTAGCAGAGAGGCAGTGAGTCATAAAACGGGTCGTGAACTGAGGAAATGGCAGCAGATGTGCAAACTTGTGCCAGTTTAGCCTGGTAGTGAAAGCCTCAGAGTCAGATCATTTGAGTGTGAATCTGGGTTCTGTTGCTTCCTGCCTCCGTGACACTAGACAAGCTACCCAACGTCTCCATATCTCGATTTCCTCATCCAGGGTAGTGTTAGAACAATTACGGTTATTCGGAGGAATGCAGAAGCTAATATCTATAAAAAGCACATAAAACAGTGTCTAGCCCATAATAAGCACAAAAAACAGGTTAAGCTACTATTATTGTTCTTACCACTCAGTTTTATTCCCTGTCGATTGTGACAGTTCAGTCTAATGATGAATCAAATACATTGAAAAATCTACAATAATTAAACAAAGAATCCCTCTCTTTTCCACGTTGTTAATCATCTCTTCTGGCTCTATGCATAGAAAGTGCAGTTCCTCCCACCCTGGGGCCGGGGGAGCCCTTTTCTGGCTCCTGCCTCCCTTCTCTGCCCCTCTTCACACCTGCTCGTTTCGAAAAGTTTGTCTGTACTGAATGCTTACCAGTCCTCACCAAAGGCCTTCAACGCACTCTTCCAGCTTTGGTTGTCACCGCTCCACTGAACCTGCTCTGACTGCCTCCGTGGGGACCAACTCGAGGAGTCTTCTTCCGTCCTCATCTGGATCTTTGGCATTTTCCTCAGCGAACTACTCCCTCATGGCAACAGTACTTCATTCTTTTGGACTTCCCCACACCACATCCTCCTGGGGTCCTGCCCGCCATTTTGGCTTCCCCTTCTTAGTGTTGGTCTCTCAGGGGCTTTGGGGCTACAGTCTGTTTTTGTGTGAGTGACTCCCATGTATGTATCTAGCCCTGCTCTTTCCGGTGAGCTTCCGAATCAGGTAAAAGTGACCCATATTTCTGGATGTCTTATAGACCTCTCATACCTAACACGCTCAGAAGAATTCTTGATTCCCTTCCTCGGTCTTCCTCCCAGCATCACTGATCTCCTAGATATCGCCATATAGGAAATATCACCCTCCTCTAGTTTGCTTAAGCCAGCAAGTCCTGCTGTCTCTTTTGTCAGGGTACCTCCAGAATCCGTCTCCTTCCTTAGCTCTCCTGCTACCCCCCTCATCTAAATCACCATCATGTCTTGGTTCAATGAGAAAAATAGTCTATAACTGGCCTCCCTGACACCTGCCTTGACCCGCTATGTTTCATTCTTTATCCTGCAGTCAGAGTGGTCTTCTAACATTATGGAAACATGCTCAGCTCGTTCTCATGTCTGCAGCATTCCGTGGCTTCTATATCCCCTAAAATGACGTCCAAGTTCCTTACTGCCTTCTGGCTCATACCCATCATGCTAAGCTGTTATCACACTGGTTGCCCTAATTATGCATGTTGCGGCCACACTGACCTTCCTGCTATTCCTGCAACTTAGCAACCTGCCTTCAACCTTTGCCCTGGTCCTTTCCTCTGGTCTAAACTCTTCTTTCTGACCTTTTCATTGCAAGACTGGCCCTTTCCTGTTATTCAGATTTCAGCTTAAATATTCCTTCTTTAGAGGCCTTTTCACATGCCCTTTTTGCTTCATACAACTTCTTTTTTTTTAAAGATTTTGTTTATTTGAGGGGCGCCTGGGTGGCTCAGTGGATTGGGGCCTCTGCCTTCAGCTCAGGTCATGATCCCAGGGTCCTGGGATCGAGCCCTGCATCGGGCTCTCTGCTCAGCAGGGAGCCTGCTTCCTTTCCTCTCTCTCTGCCTGCCTTTCTGCCTACTTGTGATCTCTGTCTGTCAAATAAATAAATAATTTTAAAAAGAAGATTTTATTTATTTGAGAGAGAGAGCGAGAGAGTGTGCACAAGCGGGGGGTAGGGATTGGGGGGGACAGGGGAAGTGGTCCTGGGACAGGGGGTTGCAGGCTGCAGGGAGCCCTATGCAGGGCTCGATCCCAGGACCCTGAGATCATGACCTGAGCTGAGGGCAGACTTAACCAACTGAGCCAGCCAGGCATGCCCCCATACAACTTATTCTTCTCTGATATTCCCTTATGTACTTACCCAGCGGCTTATTTATGTAAGTCCCACAGTACTATAAAAGTTCCACCAGAGCGGAGTGCTGATGACCTCTCAGGGGTACTGCTATACCCCCAGCACTCGGAACAGAGCTCAGCACATTAGAGATGCTTAGTGCATATTTGTTGAATGACTGAATGCACAAAGCACGGTGTCCATGCTCTTTTGGGGACACATGGCCGCACATTGCATGGTTCCAGATACCAAGGAACTTACCATTTCATTTTGAAATGAAAAGCACATGACAAATTAAATAGCAATAAAACTTAAGTTAGAGTTAAGAGAACTTTATTTTTTTTTAAAGATTTTATTTATTTATTTGACGGACAGAGATCACAAGTAGGCAGAGCAGCAGGCAGAGGGAGAGGGAGAAGCAGGCTCCCCACTGAGCAGAGAGCCTGACATGGGGCTCGATCCCAGGACCCTGAGATCCTGACCTGAACCAAAGGCAGAAGCTTTAACCCACTGAGCCACCCAGGCACCCCACAGAGTCAACAGAACTTTAGAGGCAACTGAATGGTGCTGAAGGTGCATAAGGAGAGCTAAGAAGACTGTGAGCAGGAGTTTCAGGAAAGCTTTGGGATGCTACCTGCGGCTGCAATATGGAGAGAAGTAGAGGGAACGTTGTACCGCTGTGAGAAAAGCCTGAGA